TCCACTGTCTCCTTCCTATACCCACGGCCTCAGCTCCAGTGTCCACTCGTGTGTTTTCTCCGTGGCCTTTGAAAGAAAAGAATTGTTTCCCCGCACCAGCTCTATCCACTCTGGAGCTAAGCTCCCCTGAAGCTCCTGCTTAGCTGGTAACTGTATGCTACAGACGGACTTTACCAACCGCAGTCAATCCCCTCAAGAGACATCTCACACAGCGAATGTGAGGTAACCGACGGCTGCGCAGCAGTCTAGGAAAGCACAGTAACAGTCAGAGCTCTCCAACGCCCCAGATCCCAGGACAGGAGTGCACACCACACCCGCTGCTGAGTGCACACCTCTTCTGAGAGACGAGAACACAAACTCTCCTTCTTTCACCACACTGTTCACGTCTGCTCCACGCTACTCTGTCTGCTCCATATCACCTTCCCGTGTTCCCTTCTGAATCCAAGCGACTGCAAAAGTCAATATATGTCTCATTGGTAGAGAACACTTAAGGCCCTGGATTGATCCTTATTCCCACACACATATGTAGGGGAGGGGAGGGAGAGGGGAGGGGGTCGAGAGGAGAGAGCTACTAGAGATCTTAATACAAAGCAAGCTATAGGAAGCTCTGCACTGTAGGGCTGGTGAGAGCTCCGGGGCTAAAGGCACCTGACACCAAGGCGGAGGGCTGAGTAGGATGCTTGGAGCTCACACGGTAGGCGGAGGGAGGGACTCCCTCAGTGTCCTTTGACCTCCACACACATGCCAGGGCACATGGACCTTCCCAAATCAACAATCAATCAATAATCAAAACCAGAAACATCTGTAATTCATATCAGAAGTTATTCTACTATAGAGAGAGTTTATATAAATCAAGAAATAGCAGCCTAACAGGAAAACGGGCAGAAGAAAAACACAAACAGCAATTGACCATATAAAATATCGCTCAATTTCTCAAACACAAGACATTGATTTTGTGATAGATTTTCTTTTATTTCATCCTTTAACATCTACCAGTAACAGATACAGAGGTGTGTGTGTGTGTGTGTGTGTGTGTGTGTGTATAACTGTTCTCCCCATCTTCACAAACAGAAAAAAAAAAAGTCACTCACCTTTTACATTTCTGCTAACCTAGCAGGTGAGGAATGCTATACTGACATGGTTTTAAATATCCAATTTCTCGTTGCTGTGGTTCGGGTTCTAAACACGGCTTTATTAAAGGTGTGCGTCAGAGTCTAGAAGGAAGCAGGGCTCTGAGAGATGAGCTCTGGTAGGAGGCAGGAAAACTGAGGGTGCATCTTTGAAAAAGACTCCAGGCCTCCTTCTCCTCTTCTGTTTGCAGCCCATGTGGTGGGTGGCTCCACCTCAGCACACACTCAGCACACACTCAGCACACACTCCTACTGTGAAGTGCTGCCTTCCTCAAGCCTAAAAGGACCAGAACCAGCCTTGGCCCAGGACCTCCAGATATGAATCAAGATAAGACTTTTCTAAGTCAATTATTTCAGATATCTGTTATAGAGACAGCAGGTGTGCTGGTCTGGATGCGGAAGGGTCACATAGGCTCATATAGTTGAATGTTTGGTTCCCAGCTGATGGAACTATTTAGGAAGGATTAGGAGGTGTGGCCTTGTTGGAGGAGATGTGTCACTAGGGCTGGGCTTTGAGGTTTCAAAAACCATGGTAGGCTAGGTCTGTGTCTCATTCTGCCTCCTGCCTGTGGGTCAGATATAGACTTCCAGCTACTGCTCCAGAGCCATGCCTGCCTATCTGCCTGCTGCCATTCTCTCTGCCATGGTGATAATGGACTAACTCTCTGACACTGTAAGCCAGCCCCCAGTTACATGCTTTCTGTAAGTTACTTTGGTCATATCTCTTCACAGCAATAGAATAGTAAGAGAGTCAATAACACCATAGTACATGGTGTAGCAATACAGGAAAAGACCCTCATGAGTAGATAAACACAGCAGGAACAGTCAAGAAAGGAAAGCAAAGTGCAAGCTAGGGCATGCAATACGCTATCTTTTTACAGGTAGACTAATATTTATATTTACCAGTATTTCTGTAGCAAAGCATTAAATAACAAGAAATGAATTTTAAACTGATTACCTAGAAAGCCAGAAAAGAAATACATGTGGATAAGAACAGAAGTTTCTCAATATATTTTTTCTTGCTTTAATTTTAATGTGTAACTACGTCCCTAATAAAAGAATTCTAAATTAAAAGTTTAACAGCAAAAAAGAAAATGCATAAGAATGACCTTAAGAAATTTCCTAGTTAAAAAACGGATTAAAAGTGAGAAACATCAGAAAGTGCTGGCTACAGCCATTACATTCATGTCACTATGACCCAGTGGGCAGATCTTGCCAGGCCAGGTGTAACTGTAGCTCACAGGGTCTCTGTAATGTCTCTTCTCTCCCAGCAACGTGTACAGCACCTTCTGACGCTATGAATGCAAGTCAACATGGAGGGGTTTCCAGGCCGGTACCAACTGGATTTCTCTAAGTCCTGGGACCAAAGTCCTGTAGTGTCTTCAGCAACAGTTGCCGTGGGCAACCAAGCCAACAGCAAACCGCTGTCCTGTTTGGGAAGGGAGCATTATCCCATAAGGGGCAAACCTTTCCTGACTGACTTAAGGCCCACTCCACAGGAGGAAAGGCATGTCTGACACTATAGATGTAACCGAGACCTCGTGGTCGAGGCGCTCACTGGCCCTGGGGAGGAGTGAGCCTGTCAATTTGGTAAATGGACACAGCATCAGGTCACCTTCTAAATCCACCTCTTTACAGCCATAAATGAGTCATCAGACCCCATCACACTCCTGTCCCCTCAAGGCTCAGAGAACAACA